GAAGAATGATAAGCAGGGATGGTGAAGATTGGATTCTTCAGGCTGGACAAGTGGGCCCGGGAGCGAACCGTGCAGTTTGAAGTGTCACTGCAGCTGCTGTGGGGAGTAGTATGCAAATAGCCGTTAGAGTGATAGAAAAACAGAAGGAGAGAAAGACTGTTAGTGGAGATGAGTTGGATTAATGAGTGAGTGAGTGAGTGAGTGCGAAGTGGATGATGGAGTCGTATTCGATGCTGAATGCTGACCGTCCATCCCCGACTAGTCCAGTCACATGGTTTGCAGTGCTAACCCTCTTTGAATCATCCTGCAGAAACTCCGCCTCCCGCCGCTTTTGCCTTTGCAACCAACATCGTCATAGATCACCGTACTACGGGGTAGGGTAGATCCCAGGGTCTCAGGGTCTGTAGGGCTGGCAGAATCGCAATGTCTGATTGGCTGCATACTTCAAGGGCATTGCCTTCAAGGTAATCTTCAGGAAAGGATAGTGAATTGAGGAAAGCACGATGTATGTAGTTACTTAAATAGTGCGGTAGTGCCCCTGTTGAATCGGAGTCGGAGAGTCGGAGACGGAGTGCCCGAGGTCGGCCGCCAGTCAGCCTTGGAGCGGGGTAATTACTATAAGAGTCGTGCCATGGTTTGGTTGATGGTTCCCACGCTCACTCACCACGTTTTTGACTCCCCCATCCACGTCCGAGACCGGGCCTAGACTTGGCACTAACTACAGAATTGCAGAACCACTCCATGCAGTGCACTGCACTAGACACTAGACACTAGAACACTCTTTCTGCAGACAGCTTGATTTGCACAGGGATCTGGTCTATCTAAAAGACGCCAAGTCCTCACGGTCGCATTGTGACAACTTTCCACTTTGGTCGACTTCAGGCATGGGAGAATTAAAGTACACGTCCACGGTGGCATGCAATGGTAACTAACTGAGGGCGAGAATAGGACAAATGGACAATCAGACAACGAGAGTGTGTCAAAAGCAGACACGAGTCTCGTTCGGGACCGGCGGGTCAGGTAAAAAATGAATCTCCCCGACTGGGAGTCGAACCCAGGTCTCCCGCGCTTGTTTCGTTTCAGGATTGACAAGCGGAAATCATGACCGTTAGACCATCGAGGATTTGCTATGCGGGTTTGTTACTTCTTGAAACTATTGTCATCAAGCTTGCAGGGATCTATTTTGCCAACCTTGCTTCAGGCCATAAAAGTCTCGAGACTTGATTCTTTTGTTTGCCTGTCTCTGAAAGGATTAAAGTTTTGTATGCTCAGTAGCTGAATAAATGACATTGCTTTCACAAGGATGCGTGGAGTTGAGCTAGCTCGTGCCAGCCCCCGCTCCCGTATCGATATATATCCATGTCCATACTGCTTGCCATGAGGATCACCGGGTCTCAGAATCAAACCAATTGCGCGGAAGACCTTACAACGGAACTAGAGTTGGAATGAGAAAGAGACTATCCCATTGGAAGAGACTTAAAACACCTCCATAGAGACTAACGTCGCTTCTGCTGACATGGACGGAGGATAGTCAAGATGCCGACCTGAGAATCGGCCACCCGACAGTAGACCGATTGCCACAAAGCCCTCAAGAACATTGATAAGAACCACAGTTTCACAACAGATGATGCCACCAAAACTCGTAAGCCCAAGTATAGACTCACACTTGTATCAAGAGAGCCACAGCGCATTGGCCTGCAAAACGGCTCGCACAACGCACAGCGCACAGCGCACCCCGTACCCTCACCCCCTTAGCGCAACGTCCCCAAGCAACATGGGAAGACAATACCTCGACCTCCCCATTGCACCCCCTGACATCGCATTTGGCCTAATGGCCACGTACGACGCCGACGCGCACGCGGACAAAGTCTCCCTGATCGCCGGAGCCTACCGCGACGAGAATGGTTCACCATGGGTCCTCCCCAGCGTCGAGCAGGTAAGCGCATACCTCCCCAGAACACCTCCAAAGAATACAACCCTACATCTACATATCTACAGCACAATACACTGTCCCTAAACTACAAGACTAACCAACTCTACACTTTACCCCCACACAGGCAAAATCCCTTCTCTCCTACACCCCTGCCAACCACGAATACCTCCCCATCGCCGGCTCGCCCACCTTTCTCGACCTCGCCCAAACCCTGATCCTCGGACCATACCTCACAGCCACCATGCACGACCAAATCGCCTCCATCCAGACCGTCTCCGGCACGGGGGCCAACCACCTAGCCGCGAGCTTCCTGGCCGCGCACCTGCGGCCCCAGCACGTCTTCATCCCCGCCCCGACCTGGGTGAACCACAAGTCCATCTGGGCGACAACCTCGGTGCCGCAGATCGACTATCCGTACTACTCGCCGACCACCCGCGGGGTCGATCTGGAGGGGATGTGTGCCGTGCTGGACGAGCACGCCGCGCCCCACGACGTGATCATCCTGCAGGTCTGCGCGCATAACCCGACGGGCGTGGATCTGACCCGCGCCCAGTGGGAGACCTTGCTTGCGGTCGTGCGCCGCAAGCGCCTGTTTGTGGTCTTCGATAGTGCGTACCAGGGGTTCGCGACGGGGGATGTCGATGGGGATGCGTGGGCGGTGCGGTATTTCGCCGAGCAGCTGCTTGGCACCCAGCTGGAGGGGGAGCAAGGGTCTCCGGGTCTTTGTGTAGCGCAGTCGTTCTCGAAGAACTTTGGGCTGTATGGTGAGCGGGTCGGGGCGTTGCATTTGGTGGTACCTAGGGGAATGGGGGTGGGAGGGGCGCGGTCGCAGCTGGTTGGCATGGCGCGGGCGGAGTACTCGAATCCCCCGCGCTTCGGGGTGACGATTGTTGAGACGGTGCTTGGCAATTCGGAGTTGCGGGCGCAGTGGGAGCAGGATCTGCGGACGATGAGTGCTCGCATTGCGAGGATGAGGGGTGCGTTGCGGACGAGGTTGGAGCTGAATGGAACCCCCGGGGACTGGTCTCATGTTGAGAAGCAGATTGGGATGTTTAGTTATACGGGCCTGGAGACGGAGCAGGTGGCTCGGTTGCGGGACGAGTATCATATCTATCTCTTGCCGTCGGGAAGAGTCAGCATATGTGGTTTGACTGAGGGAAATGTGGACTATGTGGCAGATGCTATCCGCGATGTTGTGCTGGGGAGGAGGGACGCTTCTGCATAGATGATAGAGGGTTGGAAAATTGGCAAGCTGAAGCTGATTTGTTAGAGCAATGAGTGGCTTCAAGTAGTAGACATCTTCATGGTCGCGAACAACTCTTTAAAAGGTATATGTTGCTCATTTACATCTGCCTGGCGCTCCGTACTCGTGGATTAGCAGTGAAATGTTGGTTAGAAGCTCACGTCCTACTACATATTCTTCAAATCGATAGAGAGCTGCTTACTTTTTGTCATACGACTTGCTGTCGAGACCATGGAGTGAGAGGTCGATGCTAACAGATCATTCCAAGCTCCCGTCTCTGGGTCGTTAGCCCTAACTATGTTCATAGCCCCATACCAGGCCAGGTCTCACATACAATGAAGAGAGCGCGATGCGCAAGCTTGACAGCTGCATGCTAGCTCAACAACAGGTTTGGATCAATGCAAGCTTTACACCTTAAGACAAAATATGGACTTGAGATAATTTGCAATTTTGGCTAGCGACTATGTACTCGCTCAAAGTATGCTTGCCTGCTAGAAGAGTCATATCACCCTGATTGCAAATAGTTATAGTATGTGGTATGATGATAAAGCTCTGATTCAGCAGCAAGACATACTTGTCGAAGAACAGAGTCATGTTCAATTTGACAAACCCCAACCCAACAAGCGGTGTATCGCGAGCATACGCAAGCCAGCCTTGGCCCGTATATTAATTCTGATGGCCGAATGCGGGGGTTTGCCTTCAAAGAGCAAGAGCGCTCAATCGATACGAGGATCGCGTAGACAAGCTCCCCTTTCTTTTTCTGCTTTACTCACGTGTAGACCGAGACATGACGTGCTTTAATCTAGCAGATGGCGATGGTGAGACATGCGCAGGAATGATTCGGCTTTCGTCGACGGAAGTTCCATCCGGAGAAGGTCGAGAGAAGAAGCTTAATCTGTCTGCCGTTCTTGGTGGGCTGCAGACTGGAACCTGTGTCTTTCCGCAATCTCCCGGATATTGATGAGGTTGTTGGGATTTTTGGGTGGCGGTGGATAAGAGATGGGGCTGTTGAAATTAAGCATAGGCCAAGAAGGCAAGAGTGGGCTCGTGGTGCTCAGGGATCTGGCATGATCCTCCAGCGCAGCAGTGGTTACATGAGATAATGGGAGTAGCCATTCGATCTAAGGTGTAATCGTATTTGTGTTCTTGTTCGGTGATGCTAAGCCCCACCATGAAGCCCTATGCGGTGCGCTGGTGACAATGCCCTCGACAGTGTCGACACATATGCTCGGGGCTATGGCCATGAATAATGTGAGTGACGCAAGTAACGACGATAATAATGCGATGATGATATTAATGCATTGCATCCATACACATGTAGAGAAAATATGCGACCATACTTAAGTTGGGATGATCGGCCAGGGGAAGGGGAGTCTCCACAGTGCAGAACCAACCACCGATTCACAGTGGAGAGCGGGTGGCCCCAGTGCCTGCCGCTAATCTCAACCAGGAACTGGAAAAATGGAGAATTTCACATCCCGTCAAAAGACTTTACCGGATAAGGCTTAGAGTCGTCGAGAGAAATTTTAACCTTAAGGAGGATCATCATCTGTAATCATTCATCATTTGTTGTGGATGGTTGATTGACTACTCGTGGTTGATGGGGTCGTTCGACGGAAACCTCGGGCCGGCAGCAAGCCCTAACTCGAAGTCCATTACTCAATGACCATCACTAAATCCTTGATTGCGCTTCCTCGGACAGCTTCCGTCTCACCCAAATCTGTAGAATGAGTCTAGTCTCGCAGCAGTCTGGCTGCGGGCCACGTCATGCAGCCTCCTCCCACGGAAAAGCTGGGGTGCCCGCCAGCAGTCCGCGGTTAGATAGCGCTCGCGCTATGAAACCCGCACGGCAGCCGCCATCAATGCGAAACGGGATCAGAATCAGACATTAAGCACCGGCGGCTCCACTACTGCTCTTGGCCGTATCTCCGAGCCGTCGCACACGGTGACTGGCCGTTGTCGGTGGGTGTGTTTCAGGGCTCCCTGCCTTTACGCGGCCGATCGCAATCCAGCGCCCACCGATCGACAGTGGCATTACCGGCTTCTGGACCCATAACCTTGGACTCGATGTTAAGCTGCTCAGCGGACTACGGAGCACTCTAAATTGTTTATTCCTCTCTGAGTCTTCTGGCTCGGACCCACCCACAGAACGATTCTCCCAGTATCAGCTTCCCCACTCGTCGTGGACCTCACCTTGCTCCTCCGCTTCATCCGTTGACTCCGTGAGGCTTGCCAAGCGTGCCCGAGACATATTCATCATGGTCTCATGAGAAGAGATCAAGGAGAAGGGGATGGCTCAGGGCATCATCACAAGCTATATAAGCCATCAGCCGTCAGCACAAGTCACAGCCTTTCCTTTCTGGCTCACAACTCACACACTCTCTGTCGTTCTTTCCTCTCTATTCCCTGCTTTCTTTTGTTCAATTCAGTCACTCTTTTTTACACACCAGACCCAACTTCCAGGATGAAGTACGCTGCTGTTCTCACCGCTGTTGCGGCTCTCGCCCAGCGGGCTGTTGCTGTCGGCGTTTCGGGCACCCCCGTCGGCTTCGCCGCCTCCGCTACCGGCGGTGGTTCTGCCACTCCCGTCTACCCCTCCACCACCGATGAGCTGGTCTCATATCTCGGTGACGATGAGGCTCGTGTCATCGTTTTGAGCAAGACTTTTGACTTCACCGACACTGAGGGAACCACTACTGCCACGGGATGTGCTCCTTGGGGTACGGCAAGTGGATGCCAGGTGGCCATCAACAAGGATGACTGGTGCACGAACTACGAGCCCGATGCTCCCTCTGTCTCCGTGACTTACGACAACGCCGGTTCTCTCGGTATCACTGTCGGCTCCAACAAGTCCCTGATTGGCGAGGGCACCTCTGGTGTTATCAAGGGTAAGGGTCTCCGCATGGTCAGCGGCGTCTCCAACATCATCATCCAGAACATTGCTGTCACGGACATCAACCCTGAGTACGTCTGGGGTGGTGATGCCATCACCCTTGACGACGCGGACCTTGTCTGGATTGATCACGTTACCGTAAGTTTATCTTAGCTTATATCTAATCTCTTGATCTAACTTTCCCATCTAACCTTATTGTGGTAGACTGCTCGCATTGGTCGTCAGCACTACGTTCTCGGCACCTCCGCCGACAACCGCGTCTCCATCACCAACAACTACATCGACGGTGAATCCGACTATTCCGCAACGTGCGATTCCCATCACTATTGGAACGTGTATCTCGATGGTTCCAGTGATAAGGTGACCTTCTCCGGCAACTATTTGTACAAGACCAGCGGCCGTGCCCCCAAGGTTCAGGACAACACCTACCTGCACATCTACAATAACTACTGGTCAGACAACTCCGGCCACGCCTTCGAGATTGGCTCCGGCGGCTACGTTCTTGCCGAGGGTAACTACTTTGAGGATGTGGACACCGTCCTTGAGACCGACACCTTCGAGGGTGTCCTCTTCTCCTCCGACAGCGCCTCCTCCACCTGCTCCTCCTACATCGGCCGCTCTTGCGTCGCCAACTCCAACGGTGGTGACCTTACTGGCACCTCAACCACTGCGCTCGAAGCGTTCGATGGCGATTCTCTCCCTACTCCCACCGCTGCTGGCACCGGCCCTGCCTCCAGCGCCGGTCAGGGCAACCTGTAAACGGTTGCAACCGTTCCCATGGACTTTTGGAGGGGTTCGTGCTCGTGTGGATCGAATCCGATGGTATCTGCTGTTACGAAGGAGAACTGTGTTGAGTTAGTTTCTATCTTAGCCTAATAGATAATATAATTCTGAGATGGAAACGTTGCTTTGACAGTAGTAATTTTGTCGGCGGTCCCGAGGCCTCCGACAGCCGGGGCCGCTCACCGCCCGCCGCGCATGTTGATAGTTCCTCTCAGGTAGCCTTATAGTCCGAATCCACCAGCATCCACATCCATGATACAAAGAGCCCTCGCTCTTCGTGATGATTTCATATCCATTTCTCATCAAGATGATGTTGTATGCATCACTACCCTGAACGCCTTCCTCTACAAACTGTTTTCGAGCCTTATATCGCCTTTTGGACGGCGATAAGCCTACCCAGGCTTCTCGCCGTCGCCCTACCACAACAACACCACTCAGTTTATAAAACAATGTGATTATTATAGAAAGGCACTGTTTGTTAGAGCAAGCCTCCTCCATCAACCTCGGTTACATCTATGTATTCTTTGTATCAAAAGCATTTTTTCATTAGCATTGAATCTGTATACATTGTCACGGAGCAACTCGGGGTACGCATTCCAAAGGATAACCGTTGCACCATTGGCAAAAGGACTAGGATGTAAAGCCGATGGCTTCACACTGCGCACACTATATAAGGTTGCATCGATACAGGATTCAGGCAGGACAGGTACTCTTAGTGGTGGTTCCTCGGGATCAACGGGAGCCTCTTGCTCACACCGTGACATACATGCTTTTTGTTGATATCAAATTCCTCTACGTTGTGATGAGATCTTTGTGCTTTACGCCTAATTTTACAAGCGGAGCACATTTTTCTGTCTACAGGCCTTTTATATTCGACTGGGAGCTGCTACTGACACACCAATCCCGCTACTTACATACCGGCTATGTACTATTTCTTACTACTGTCTTTTAAATAAAATAAATAAAATAAATAAAATAAATAAAATAAATAAAATAAATAA